AATATATATTTATATATTTTTTCTAAGAACATAAAGTATATAGTGAATCCACTGTGAATATAAAATTAAAATGATAAATAAATTCATACAATTTAGTTTAATTAGTTTAATCAAAGAAATTATTGCTCAGATAGAATAGAAGTTTTATCTAGAATGCCAGGTTTATTTAGGTCTTAGCGCTGGCCGTGTTCGCCTTAGACAGGCTCTTAACAAGATTAACTTAAGCTCTACAAAAGAATTTACGAATTTACTAAATGAAATAAACTGGACTAGTGGAACATGTTTCTATGTCTATTTGTTTCTAATTTGATTTAACAAAGGAACAGAAGAAGCTAGCTTTTATATCTACAGTAACACTTAACATTATGTATTAACTAGCTGTCGCTCGCGACACTGATCGTGCGGAATTTTAAAAAAAAACCTTAATATATATGCCAATTTTCATTTGGCAGTTCCAGAAATAGATTCAAACTAACATCCATCTAAACAGCATTTATAATATATCTTATTAAGAAATTTTTGTATATGATACAGTTACTTAAATTCGCCATACTAGCGAAGTGACACCTGCCCATAAATAGTCCGCAGATAGGTTTTATACATTTAATCGATAGACGCTAATCTGATATTCTAAGCACAGATAAGACATATTCCCTTTTGCTAACTCATACTAAATTTACATTAAGGGTCTTTTAGCGACCTGAGGTGTGTCAGTCACATATTATATCTGTTTTTATACAGAAAATTATACAGCACGGAAGTTAGAGTAAAAAAAGAACTTATCTATGTTTACGCATCTCATGCCATTGACATCAGAATAATGATGAGCTCCATTCATAAGAAACTTGTTTTTATTTTTATAATAGATATTGATTCATGACATAACAAGACTACAGGTCTTGACTATAAATATAATCACAATCACGATTGTAGTACATCTTGCTACCATTATAAATGCAACTGTTAGAATGGTCAGATGTTTATTAGAACGTATCTCCAAAACGGCTACATGGATGTCGCTGAAACTTGGCATAGATGTAGTACATTGCCTGGAAGAACACATAGGCAATTAAGTTTTTTAAGTCTGCGCGCAAGGAGTCGCGCTAACAGCTAGTATTGCATAATCGTTAACACTATGATCAAAATTCGGGTACCCATAAGAAGTACAACACAAGGCTTCTAAATGCTATTCGTAATGTGTTGATCATGCTAAAAGACGGCAAGTTATAGAGCAAGATGTCGAGGATAGCGATAAGTGAGCTATGATGGGAAATAGAGTACACGTCGTACACTTAGTTTCAAATAAGATTGACCAAGCGAAGCGGTCATGGTTACGGGAATATCCTAGCTGCAGGCTAAGATCTTTGGAAGGCCTATGCCCAGCTGTGGGCGTCACATGGCTGAACGAGGAAGAATCTCCATGATTCAGCACCATATTTTGACGCCATAGCGATAGAAAAAAATTCACACTTGTAATTCAACGTTTTTAGTTATAACCTATATTTGTTATATTGCTTAATTTGACATTATTTATGATAGTAAATTCAACAAGTCCTCGGCGTAGAATTATTTCTTTTAAAATTAGCATGTTTAGTTTCCTGAGCAATTAAGTTAATTCGTAGTAACATTTAATAGCGCCAGAGTTTCGCAATATTTTAGATTGCAATCAACGTTCATGGCCATTTAGCGAGTAAGGTTCTTGGTTCCTACGTAGTTAATCGTTTATAATAACTTAGTACATTTGTCTTTAGGATGATTTATTTTTTATACTCATGATATATCTTTTAGAGTGATTTTTTTTAACTCATATTTTTAGTAGTTTGTCTTCATTCATTTAATACCTTACTAGCTGCCCCCCCCCGAATCCGTCCGCGCGGAATTAAAAAATAAATTAGTAGCCTATGTGTTCTTCCAGACTATGATCTACATCTATACCAAATTTCATCGAGATCTGTTTAGCCGTTTTGAACGTAACTTCAAACAAACATTCATCATAACAGTTGTATTTATAATATTAGAAAGAATTGACATGAATCACAATGCACGCGGTTGCCTAAATTACTGGTTAAACTATATCTTCATTATTATTGCGTTAGTTGTGAATGTCAAATTAGTAATTGACACATACGAGTATATAACAGCAAATGTACTATAATACATTTTCTATTCTTTTTTCTTTTAAAGAAATAAAGATACCTTTTAAACCAGGATATAAAGTTATGACTACGTTTTAGAATATTGCGCAAGGCTTTGCCTAAACATTTCGTAACCTGACCACGCCTTAAACGATAAATGCATTTCGCTGCACAATATCGCTACAATACTGGTTTGTCTACACATTTTAAACGATTACGCCTAAAGTATAGGCTATCAGTAAATAATTTACAAAGTTTATTTTGAACACGAATTTGTTTATCAAAATGTACACAAGGGTAAATTCAATTGTTCTTTGTTTGCTAAATCGTGTTTTATCAATTAAATAATGGAATTTGTTTTAGGTAACAACATAAACTTCGACTATAAATACCGTTGCTGTATACAAAGAGATGAAAATCAATATTCTAACTTTAATATTGATTCAAGAATTTTAAAACTCGCCTTATAAAAATTGATCACGTTTTTCAATTGCTAAAAATGGTTTCAAATTGATTCGATCATGAATTATTCTTTTTAATTTATTAATTACGAAAATGATAGTCTGGTAGTATAATACATTTGTCGTATTATTACAATTCGAGCGTCGGATTTCTTTGACTTATATACTTATAGTTGAGTTTACAGCCGGGAGAATGGTCAGAGTGACATTGGACACCCCACCCACTTTCCGAAGGCCGCAACCGGACGCGTCAGCACCTCTCGAATTGTCAACATGAATTTTGATACTTTAATTGTGACTATTGTATATACCTAGTTATGATATATGATATTATATGCCGTTTTTCTAAAGTATTATACAACTGATGACATATATTAATATACTCGTAAATATTATAGACTTAGACAAACTTTGGAAGTTTTCTCCCGTCTTTTGCTAATATATTTTACTGTTCATTTTAATGAAAATTATTTATGCATTTGTTAAAAAGGCGTAAAAGTTAAAATTTGTAGATTCCTATTACCATATCCTACATCAAATCCAACCGATTTTGAAACTATTATCGTGGGTTTCTGAAAATAAAAACTCCTTTTAAACAAATCATTAGGTCTGTTTTGTTAAAGGTTACAGGGATTAAGATTGTTTATATAAAGACTTTGCCCTCAGAAACCAACGGTTAATATTTACACTATTTGTACTGTTTATTGAATCATTGTATTACTCATTATTTTTACGAGACCGTAAAAACCCGTACCGTTATTTCTAAAGGTCGTTCGGGGATATTAAGAAAAAACTTTTCCGAACGTAGTCTCCGGAAAAGAAACTGTCTATATCTTCGACAATGACTACTAACGCCTCCGAGCCGTCTAAACTTTATGCAGCTTACAATTACGTACGACAAGCTGCAGAACAAAATATTAAACACTAGGTACATATCTCCCGCGACTCCGTCCGCGTGGGTTTAAAAAAAACATAATTAGTAGCCTATGTGTTCTGCCGGACCATGTCCTATATGTATGCCAAATTTAAACGAGTTCCATACAGCCGTTCTGGAGATACCTTAAAAAAAAAACATCAATCCATCTAAACTTTTACGCATTTATAATAGTACCAAGATTAGTAGGATTAATAAGCATATAGAGCTGACATAAAATTCGAATCTTATACCACAGAAGTACTATCATTATTATTATAGACTACGAAAGGCACTTTTTACAAGTAAAACAAGACTTTTAAGCATTGCGTCGAAAGTATTTTAAAGAATCAAATTAAAATTACACGCTTACTACATCAATGTGCGGTACAAATTCTTAAGAATAGCGGAAAGTATTTAAATTTACAATTAACGATCAAAGTTTAAAAATAGCTTGTGTATAGTATTTTTCAAATATCTTGGCGGCGCAGAACAAAATGTTAGGTTGTAGCGGGTCATAAAGAGATGAGGGTCACTGGGTTGCAAGATGACCTTGAGCCGCTAGGCTAATGGAAATACTACTTTAAAACTTTAAGATAAATTGTAGACATAAAAACATATTTTATTAAGTTTTATTTGTATAACATTGCGATTACATGAATTTGTAAACGCTACCTAAAACTTAGAACATAAGCTTAATCAAAAATAATCTTAAGAAAATATTTACTGTTCACAATGAATCTTGTGAATTGCGTCAAACAATTTTAAATTATCTTAAAATAGCCATTTTAAGGTATGAATAATTTATACACGAATGTACAAACAATTTTAAACATTATTCTTTTGAAATAAAGTTCAATTCAACTTGTGTTTTTCTCTTTGTAAGATCGTAAGTTTTTGGGTGTGTTTCAAGGCCGTAATGCTACAGTAACGTCGTTCTGAGTTCATTGCCACGGTCAAACTATTTTAAGATGCGGTCCGATGACGTCATTAAGTCATGAGCTTTGCTTGCATTTTAGTTAACTCCGCCTTATAATTAACATTCGTGAAAGGAATGACTATAGATACATCACACTCCCTGCATTAGCAATTAGTAAACTGTATTTGGAAACTTTTTTATTTAGTAATTAACTTATAAGTAAGTACATTATAGATATTGTATATTGAGCTAGAAATAAAAGCCAACATTCTTTATGCGAAGAATATATGTGTCGCTATTAGCAACCGATTATGTTCTAAATTAAATATCTCAAGACCCGATAAAATATCCGAAATCTAATAAGAAAATTGTTCAAATGATTTCCAGAACATTGGAACGTTCTAGAATTCACGCTTGGTAATTACATGTGACATTAGGATTCAGTTGCGGAGGAATCCGAGACGGCCAGATATTGAACAATTTATCACTATAACGCTCCAATTCACTCAGAAATGCTATACCTATTGCGAAATAAAGTATTGTCTTACATTAAAAGTGGTATAAATATTGAGATTAGTTTGTCGAATTATCATACATCAATCGTGTTAAGACGAAACATCATTCAATAATATCAAAATGATTTCGAAGGTAAGGAAATGAAAATAAAATTATTAAAAAATTATTATAAGTTTTATAAAGGTATTTATAATTTGATTTTTAGCATAACATTACAAATATTAATTTAACCATATCATAACAGCATATTATCAAGTTCATTTTAACAGTGGTAGAGCCCGCTTTAACATCTTCGCACAAATTGGCCCGACTCGCCCGGTGAAATACCACGACCACACAGAAAACAGACGTGAAGTGAAAGTAATTCGTGTGCGTCCCGGAGGCGTATTTTGGTCCTCTTTCCCTTCCCACCCTTTTTCTTATAAGGAAAGGATGGGAAGTGGAAGTGGACTTTCCGGATAAGAGGATGCATAGGGAGGGAAAATGTTTTCTTTCTGTGCATCCTCTAGTCCATCGAGTAAAGGCATATGCAATTGCGTATGTGTATGGGCAACGATCACTTCGCTATTTCAGCGATTTCAGGTGGCCGCTCGCTCGTTTGCCACCTTATGATATAAAAAAAGAAGTACAATCCAACAATACTTATTGTGTCCAATATATTTACCTTATGGTATTTAATTCAATCGATTACGTAAAGTCTCGTAATATAGGTTAATAACATTTTGTAACAAACAGCCGTGAACTATAGTAGAAGGTACAATTAACCCGCATTAGATAGTACTAAAGTCTTTAAGCATTGACTTACAGAAACAACAATTTAGTTTCGGATCAATAAAATACCCTGTAGAAGGCTAAGACCAAAATACAATTATTCAAACTGATGTTTAATCAACAGCGTAATTTGTCTAACAAACTCACAACTACCTAATTTGGATAATCTTCATAGCTGTTCTAACATAATCAACTCGGATAGTGCTTTTGTACTACGAGGCATTTGTACATCTTTTTTCTCCTTCTTCTTAATTATTTTTTTCTTTAACAGATTGCAATTCTATGTTGCCTGGTAGTATCTGCAACATGTATGGTATTACATCAAGCACCACTACCATTGTACTCTCTGCAGTATCAAGATCAAGCGCCAAACTACAATTTTGATTACAACGCTAACAACGGTCACCCTGGAAATTTCAATGGTCGAGACAATCTACAAGAAAGTCGCCGAGGAGAATCAGGATTAGGACAATACTCTCTCCGTCAACAGGATAACATTCCGAGAGCTGGTGAATACAGGTCTGATGATGCAGGATATAACGCATACCTGAATAACGATAGGAGACAAAGCAATCTAGGTGATGACAGATATGTAGAAAACATCAACGAAGAAGCCAGACGACCAAGCAACCAAGGTCCTCAAGTAAATCAACCATGGCAAATTCCTAGCATCCATCAAGCAAGTCCAACTCCAGTAACCATCACTCAAACATCCGTCTACCACCAGACCTATTCTCATGGCCATAAATCAAAGAAATAAATATAATCAACGAATAACAACGACTAAAAACAATTTATTAATGCTTTTGAACGAAAAATCGAAAGAAATGTCTTAAATTTGATTAAAAATTTACTTTTTTACTGCTTACATTGTATGCATGTCACAAAAAATACAGTTTGCTGTTTTATGGAATAAATCTGCACATGATTTTTTTTTTCTTTTCTTGTATCTTTTACATTACGGATTCCTCTTTTTGTATCATAATTTTATGGAGATAGTGAAATTATAATCCTGATTAATAATGTAAGTAAATATAAACGCTACTTCGTATCTCTGTTAAGTATTTATGTTTATAGCTTATAATAAATAAGGTATTGTAAAATAAAACATAGGTACAATGAGATTACAATACACTGAGACACATTACTTGGTGCATCGTCCTGATGTACTTGACTTTTAGTCACTTCCTGAATTTTTTAATAAGTAAACAGGTTAAGAAGTAAAACTGGAACAGTCAACAAGTTATATAAATGCCCTGAAGTTTTGTGCCGGCCATCATAGTCTAAAGATTCACCATTGTAGTGACACTGAAAAGTCAAATCTCCGAGAAAATGAAGGTAAAATATTTCTATTTTTTTTTCATTTAATATCAAAGTGAGCAAACATAAGGCAAGGTAAATGGTATCTGTGACATATCACTTTAACTATATTAGTTTTTCGCAATCGAACTGAAGATTTGTGGCTTAAACAACGTGTGGTAATAATTGTAGAATGTAATAATTTAAATGTAAAATAATAAAACTCGTTTTCCTTTCCAGTTGCTAATCGTGCTTGCTCTCGTGGCTGTAGCCAACGCCGCTGACTTCTCCAGTTTCTCCTACGGTGTTGCCGACCCTTACACTGGTGACTTCAAGAGCCAGATTGAAAGTCGCGCCGGTGATAATGTTCAAGGCCAGTACTCCCTGCTCGAACCTGACGGTACCCGTAGAACTGTTGACTATGCTGCTGGAGCCGAAGGTTTCAATGCCGCCGTGAGGAAGGACCCGGGTCTGATTGCCGGCATCCCATATGCTGCTCCCTACGGCTATGCAAACTGGGCTGCTTACCCCGGCTTTGGTATCGCACCATACGCGTACAACCGTCTTCTTTGAATTAAAACAGAACCACGACATTGAAATTGTAAATAAATGATTTGTAAATAAAATAAGCACAATCCGATATGTTCATGTTCATTACAATAATTTTACACAGCCATAAAGTTAATAGATGATAAAAATAAAGATGTAGCAATCCATAAACTGCTTAAGAATGCACCAAAAGGCCAGTTACATTCAGAGAAAGTGATGTATTAATATAGCTTTCATCATTGTTTTTTCTCAAATTGAATTTTGTTCTATTCGTCATATAATCAATAAAATTATATCATATTTTTTTGAAACAAATATGGAAAGTGATTTTGAATTTACATAAAGAATTTCATCAATTTTATCACAATAAGATATTGGTCAATGTTTTGGTATAAGTCCCTAAATGAAATCAATATAGAGAATGTGTAATTCCACAAAAGGTTAGCGTTACCTTCGCATATTTCAAATGTTTTAACTATTTAATTACGTACAAGTACAATGGTAGTTGGGAATGTAATTTACTTACAAGGTCACCGAACAATGCATTCAATATTATAGGAGGGTTAAGATTGATTAAAGCAAAATCAATTTTTTATAGATTGATTTTGCTTTAATAGATATTAAATATTAATCTTTTTCATAAATTTTTCTAGACCATCTTGGTTATAATGAAAGTAATGAAATCATATCCAGCGATATACTTGTTTCCTAAATTACAAATGATAAGGTAGTGGATAGTGTAACTTACTAAGTGTTGTGTTTTTTTTCTTACTCTTTACTACTTTAATAATCTGTATGTAAAATAAATAAAAGTAGCATAGCTTTATAAAAACACAAAATCTTAGGGTTTTCCATCGGTAACTAAAGGAATCATATGAAAACTTTTTACGTAAACCTTTGAGCATTTTTTCGATTCGTTTCACGCACGTTTTTAATTTAGCTTATTCATATAATTTTACAAAAAAAATCCTTCGTCATTCCTTGCCAGACATTTGTCATCTACTAGTAACATTGGAAGTTCAATCCGAAGTTACGTTTTTTGTTCGTAAATTGCGTAAAATGTCTGAGGTAAATAACACTTAGTGGTGTGGTCAGAATGTCCTGCCAAGTTCCGCGTTGTTAATATTGGTTAAAGTTAACCGACAAATTTGAACTCTAAAAGCTATACCGCGTGACCTAGAGCGGACAACTGTCTTTTACTTCCTATTAATAGCACACAATGATTGTGCAGGACTTGTATAAAATGACCAGCATTAACCCAGATTGATCATTCACAGTTCACTGTGCAGCAAAATCATACTCACCAAAATGGCAGCTAAGGTAAATTGAATTTCAAAGATCAATCAATATAAGTTCATATTTATACAAATGAATAGAGTACTGTAGTGCTTTTTAAAATTAAACTTTCGTTTTATTTTTCAGTTCGTCGTTGCAGCTTTGTTGGTGGCAGCCGCTCAGGGCAGCGCGATCCATGGCCCCGACTACACAAGTTTCTCTTACGGCGTGGCGGACCCCCACACCGGTGATGTCAAGAGCCAGCACGAGACTCGCATCGGCGACAGCGTGGTAGGCCAGTACTCGCTCCTGGAATCTGATGGCCATCGCCGCACCGTAGACTACGCTGCCGGACCTCACTCTGGATTCAACGCAGTCGTCCGCAGGGACCCAGCCCTGGTCGCCCACGCCGCTCCCGCTGTTGTTGCCGCTCCTCTGGCTCACGCCGCCCCAGCTGTAGCCGCACCCCTGGCGTACGCCGCCCACGCCGCGCCCCTCGCTGTCGGAGCTCATGTGGCCCCAGGTGCTGTCTCATACTCTGCTCACAGCACCTCCGTTGCCCACGGAACTCCCCTTGCCCACGGAGCTGTTGTAGCCGCTCCCCTCGCTCACGGTGCCGTCGCCTACGGAGCGCATGGTCTCGGTCTCGGTGCCCACGGTCTCGGTCTCGGTCTCGGTGCCCACGGCCTTGGCCTCGGTGCCCACGGTCTCGGACTCGCCGGTCATGGTCTTGGCTACGGCTATGGTCATTAGGGAACACACATCCAACAACTACTAGGCAATAATAATATAACAAACGGATATACTTGTAATTTATTCTATCGACATGTGAGTAAATGATGTGCAACTGTGATTGAAATTTATGAATAAACTTGTGATAAGTTTAACACATATGTATACGAATTTTATTCCTTTCCACCATTTTCTTATATACTATATGTTTATGAACAAACGTGCATATAGTTCATTTAACTTCTTTTCGTATGTTCATGTAATATATACGATACTTGACTCATTTAAATCTGATCATAATCACTTAAGTTTTTTCTTAGTTCTGCAGAACAATGTTGTTTTTCAATGGTCATATCATTGTTGTATTATATTTAAAACATATTTTGATTATGTCAAATGTAGCAAGAAAACAAAAATATAATTCAATTAAAAAGTATTTAAGTACGCCATTTTATCGTACTTAATCCCATTACACATACGTTAAAATCAACGGCTCATAATGTAGTTATAATTTTCATATTTTCCAAAAATTTATTTCACATTAAGTAAAGAGGTCAAGCCCGTTTAAAGTTTAATATTTTAAAAGTTTTCCAATAAAATTTTAAAATGTATATTTTTTAAAACACGAAACAGAGATACTGTTTAGTGTTTCATAATTAAAATGTAATTTGCTGAATTACTTCTAAATGACCTCTATACACGGACCGACTATGAGATGTGGTATTTTGTGCCTATTTGATTTTCGCGATATTGGTAGAAAGTGACAAATGATATAAATATAATTAAAATCTAACATTCACAGATGCTTTATAACCGAACCGGAATCTCATCAGATCCTATTGGCATACCATTGTATCCAATTCCAACAATCTTATTATCTCTGTTTACAACGCAAGCTCCAACTTGAAAACTTGGATCTTTACTGCGTTTGCTACTTATTAAGTTTTTTTCTAATTATGCGAAGATGAAAGCTCGTAAGATATATTTGTACGAGTAATTCGGCAACATCTCATGATCAGAATGTTGATTTCTATATCATAAACTAGCTGCCGCCAGCGAAGCCGTCAGCGCGGAATAAAACAAAAAAAAACGTTATGAGTTGCCTATGTGTTATTCCAGACAATATCAAATATGTATGCCAAATTTCATCAAGTCCCGTTCAGACGTTCTGGAGATACCTTTAAACATTCATCTATCCAGTTAAACATTCGCATTTATAACATTAGTAAGATTAATGTATTGAAAGCGTGGGAATTTATACAACATGAATGATAGCAATGACTAACGTATGTGGTAAATAAACATGAATTTATTCAGTTCATTGCATATTTTATTAAGATATGTAACATTATAACAGTCTGTTAATACGTGTCGTGATAATGACGTAGGTGACATTCTCACGCACATGTTATTCCTACTAACTTATTACCTTCCTTATTGTTCTGTTAATTATATCGAAGTAGTAAAGGTCAAAACAAGTTCAATAGGAATAACTATCTAGTAGATCTATTACAAATTAAGGTGAATACCAAATATTTGTGGTAAGTAATAAGAGTAAAATTTGATCGAATTGTTTTCATAACACTGATTAGATGCGTAGGCAATCCTGAAGTAGAACATTTAAATTTTTAAAACATAGGTCCTTTCTTAAGATTAGTGCATTTCTAGTAATTAAACTGAGATAATAAAGTACTGGAAATGATATTCCAGATGTGAATGATGTGTGTGTATTTATTTGATCTGTCTTGAGTGCTTAAAATTTTATGACATCGTGGTAAGTTGATATTGAAGAGAAACAAAAATTTAATTTTCTTCAATTAATTTATTTATTTCTTAAAAAACATTAAACTTTGGTCCGAATAATTTCATATTATATTCACCAGCCCAAACGAGCGCCGTGTCCGTAAGCGGAGTACGCGCCGGGGGCACCGTAGGCAACAGCGCCGTGGGTCAGAGGAGCAGCGTATGTGTTGTAAGCCAGAGGAGAGCCAACGGCACTAGCGATGGGGGCTGCGTAAGCCAGACGGGGTGTGTGAACACCATATGAAGCATACGCCAAAGGACTGGAGTGGGCAACAGAGCTGCTGTGCGCGGAGTATGACACGGATGCAGGGGCTACTTGAGTGGCTACGGTGAGGGGAGCGGCATGGGCACCATACGCTACGGGAGCGACTCGGGCGGCGTATGCCAGAGGAGCAGCGTGGGCAGCGTACGCTACGGGAGCGACACGGGCAGAGTATGCCACGGGAGCAACGGGAGCGGCATGAGCGACCAGAGCAGGCTCTCTGCGCACGACGGCGTTGAAGCCGGAGTGGGCGTTAGCAGCGTAGTCGACGGTGCGGCGGTGGCCATCGGATTCCAGCAGCGAGTACTGGCCCACCACGCTGTCACCGACGCGCGTCTCCTGCTGGCTCTTCACATCGCCGGTGTGTGGGTCTGCTACTCCGTACGAGAAGCTGGTGTAGTCACCATGGCTGGAGCTGCCGTGCGCAGCAGCCACGAAAAAAGCGAGAACGACAAACTGTAAAGAAAGAAAAAAATAAGTTTAACTGATTTATTAGCTGCAACCGCTAATATTTTGTCGGAATGTTAGTTAATTATTATTTAAATTTAAATTAAACTTGGTCTGTAAATCAGAAATCGAATCCAGAACAAGCTCATAAGTAGGTTACTTCAATCACTAAGCTGTCCTCTTCGTTAATAAAAAAAAATTGCACAAGCTAAGAACTTTACCTTAGCGGCCATTGTATGTTGTTTGGTTCAACGTCAGTGAGTTACTGAGTAACCCTGAAGTTTTTGTTCTCTTTTTATATTCACACGAAAGCTTTCAATATCATAATTTGGGGTGCGATAAAGGAAGTTATGTGATTAATTGCCTATTAAATTTACATACGTTAATGGTTACTTTCTACAGTAAACAATGGGTTTTTTCGTTGCGACAATTATATATAATTTCACCTGGTTGAATTTAAAAATGATATGTCTTTTCATAAAATTTCCTCTGCATTACATTTTTTTTTTAGTCAAGGCAAGCAAAAGATCCCTATACAGTTCGTAAATATTTATAGTTTTGTGGAACATTTTACTAAGGAACCGTTTCTAAAGTTTAGAAAAGTAATTGAAATTTATTTCTAGTTCTTAAAAATTTTGTTTTACAATTAAAAAAAAATTATTGCATTAGAATGTTATTTTATTTACAACGCCATCTGTTAGGAAATTATGAAAATATTTGTTTTACTTTTATTTTACAAAATATTATAAAGCCCTCATAAACCATCTGTTTTTTTGGTAGAAAAACAATGTACATCAGCATTTTCAACAGTGCATTAATTGCTGGCAGTTTCTACAAGCGCAGTTAGATTTTAGCTACACTAACAATATTGACCAATTTATTTCTAATGAATATTTTTAGCAAACAGGATACAACTACAACCCTTACGTTTTATTGTGCAGTATTTGTAAGTAGTTATCGTGAAATTGGCTATTTGAAAACACAATGTACATTATACATTGCCATCCCTTTCATTCTGTTTGACAAAACAGAGATAAAATATTTATTATAATAATTGAAGTGCACTGATCTCTATAAATTGATAGGTAATTGCTTGAAAATAATAGCTTTTTTATCTTTCCGAATTGAATGTGCCTGTTGAAGTTCCTGGCAGTTAATTCTATCTCTATAATTAGTTCGTATCCTCACCACCGCTATCAACCGTAACAGTCAGCGCCAAAATGGCGGAGACCAAATAGACACAGACTACCACGGTTTATAACCTATCCGTATATCATCAGTGTTGAGTTGTCGCTGTAGTGGAATTTCACGGTTTGTGTAGATATAAAGATAATCATTTACTTGGTGACTAATGATAACATTTATTATTCGTTATAAATAGAGCAAGATCTTAGAACTTAGTTTTGTTCTGAGTAAATCCTCATTAGTATTTACTAGGTTATAATTTTATATAATTAACGTCAACCATTTTTTTTTTATATCATAAGGTGGCAAACGAGCGAGCGGCCACCTGAAATCGCTGATATAGCGAAATGACCGTTACCCATAGACATACGCAATTGCATATGCGTTGCCTACCTTTAATCTTAAATTAGGCATCCGGGACGCACACTCATCAGACGAAACGCGGAATTGCTTCCACTTCACGCCTGTCTTCTGTATGGTCGTGGTATTTCACAGGGCGAGCCGGGCCAATTCGTGCGAAGATGTTTAAAGCGGGCTCTACCACTGTCAAAACATTTGTCTATTAACAACAGTGAACGTAATTAAGTCTGTAATAATTTTATTAAATTTATGCAAATTAAACGTATGACGCATGACCTAGTATATTCAATGAAATTCTAAAGGATATTACAAAAGTTATTTTTTTAATTGCATTCTTTTTCTAAATTAGATCAAACTGTGCGATAAAATTTTACAAGCATTGCTTTGTTTGCTGGCTATAATTGAATAGTGGGGGGTATCCTTGTGAGGTCGGCTGTTTCCTGCTACAAATCCGATTGCGTACGGCGCCGATACGTAACAGCAAATTGACCAACTATATAAAGACCATTCATTGTAACACATGCATCAGTCGAAAGGTTGACAACACAAATACTATACAAAATGTTCAAGGTATCTACATCATTTATTTATTACGACCTGGACGCGGCAAAAAAAGAGAGTTGAATAAATACAATCATTTGCTAGAACATGTTCGCCATAGATATTAAAATTAATAGTGCACCAATGGATCTTAGTAAAGGAAAAAAAATTACGCTTTTCAACTTCAACCTAAGTCTGAACTGCGGCTTTATTAGCCATAGAATGTCTTCTGTTTAATTTTGGTTATAGTTATTATTTACATTTAAAGGAAGGATTAATTAAATACTAGTAGTATACAAAGTACCTCTCATTGAACGAATATTTAATTTTTTTTTCAGTTTGTAGTTCTCGCTTTGTTCGTGGCAGCTGCGCACGGCAGCGCCACCCAAGGTGACTACACCAGCTTCTCGTACGGAGTATCGGACCCGCACACCGGCGACGTGAAGAGCCAGCAGGAGACTCGCGTCGGTGACAGCGTGGTTGGCCAGTACTCGCTGCTGGAATCCGATGGCCACCGCCGCACCGTCGACTACGCCGCTAACGCCCACTCCGGTTTCAACGCCGTCGTGCGCAGAGAGCCCGCTCTGGTCGCTCATGCCGCTCCCGTTGCCCACGCCGCTCCCCTGGCGTACGCTGCCCGTGTCGCTCCCGTAGCGTACGCTGCCAACGCCGCTCCCGTAGCATACGCTGCCCAAGCCGCTCCCCTGGCATACGCCGCCCGTATCGCTCCAGTAGCGTACAGTGCCCACGCTGCTCCCCTCGCCGTAGCCACTCAAGTCGCCCCTGCTTCCGTGTCATACTCCGCGCACAGCAGCTCTGTTGCCCACGCCGCTCCCATCGCCCATGCTGCTATTGCCCCCGTCGCTTACGGAGCATACGCTGCTCCATTAGCCCACGGAGCTATCGCCGCTCCTTACGCCCATGGCGCTGTCGCCTACGGTGCTTATGGCGCTCACGGTCTCGGCTACGGTCGTTTGGGTTGGTAAACATGGACTTAAACAAATCTTAATGTGCTGTGATTTTAGTAATAACGAAATAGCGAACTTGAACCTAGCATACTTGATACATAACTCGGAAGTAGCCAACAAAATACTCAAAATATTTAAGTGACTTAAGTGATGATTGTTTAGAGGCTGTCTGATTATTCCTGTAAATACAATGTTGTAATTGTGTAAAATCTTTACGAAATAAAAATATTTATTCGTATATATTATTTTATTAACAATGAATCCTTGATAACTTACTACCACCTAAAATCGATTAACAAATAATATTTTAAAAGATTTTCTCGACTTTCATCGAAATATTTCGAATCATCTGCTAGCGATTTATTCCACATCACATAATGACAACTTGATATATATTTATCAAGTTAATGTATAAGAAAGTTCTTTTATGTTGTCTCAAAGTAAAAAAAATAGTAAGTAGTGTCTCATATACTGTCTTAGTCCTATTTTTAAGATAATTAAATAGAGCAAAAACTGTATTAACTATAAAATATATTTTTTTTTTGGTTACAATTTAAGGGAAATGAGATGTCGAACTTGGGTGGACCGGGCCGTAGTATACACATCCGGGATCTGGAAGCGTTGTATCGTTTTTTTTTCGTTCTGGGTTTCATATTTATTCATTCAAGGAAGGACTAAGATCTAATCATCACTTACATTGGCTAGAAGTTTGCCCTTCGGTGCGGACATGTAGGAATTGACGAATAGAATCGCATAGTATATATGGTGTTTGAAAATTCGAAACCAATCTACTTAACCTTGACCGATTTTTGTTAATTTTATTAGTCAATTTTCTGGTTATATTAAGTACGATTGCTAGCACGGAATTTAAGAGAACGGTTCAATTGGTTAGCAATTTGGCTAATAATAATGTGCGCCCGCGCACTTGTCTTAAATATGGTCCGGACAACTTTGAAATAAGTAATTTCTGTAACTACATTTCCTGTATGACTGGTTTTGTACTTCTATAAAAAATCCATACGAACTTTGCCGTGTCCTTGATCTTAAATACAAGGATATTATTACGTAACTTAATAAGGATATACATGAACTTTTATTTATTAGTAACCTGCATGAAACTTGTCTTTACTTAGCAATATTTACTTTGGTTAATTGCTAAGAGGTTTTTGTCAGGACCATGATTTATGAGGCACGAAAAGCAATAATAATTTTTTAGCAGGATTTATAAAACACTAGCTATCGCCTGCGACTCCGTCGCCGCCAAACTTTGCCACTTAATAATAAATAAACATACTTTCTTCTCCTTTTGTAATGCCAAAAAAGCTGATGCTTTGATATATTTCGTTTTCCATAACCCCAGTCGTCCTTAATTATTTAGCAATTTTTGATACATGTATCCTTAGTCCTGTTATTAAAGTTAGTTAAGTAATAGGTAAGTTAAACATAACTTAATAAACCGGTTGGTATTAAGTAAAAGTCGAAAACTAAAATGAGTTGCATACAACTAAGTTTATTACTTTACGACCGTTTTAATTCATGCAAGTGGTTCAATTCAAAACAAACCCATAAGTATTTCAATTTTAAATGTTTTCATATTTCAGAATTATTTTATACAGGATGTCCCGTTAAGAATGGAATTTTGCGAACCACCTTGAATAAATTTTTATGTATTAATTTTTTGAGCCCTTGATAAATTTATATTGCAAAGGGTTTCTGGGTTATCCATTAATTCCGGGACACCCTGTGTTATACTTTTTAAGGATATCATTGTGCATGTTTCTCGTCAAAGGGAGATTAGGCATTACTAAGCTACCTTATATCACTTTTGGATCTAATCACCACATTTGGATCGTGGTCAAGTGCAGGTTTTATTAAAAAAAATCAACATGTTTATACTTAAAATGTATTTTATCGTATATAAAAAATAACCACGCCTATTAGTATTTCATTCTGGGTCTATAAATTTAAAGACATATATTTAATTACATTATGACCGTGATTTACTTGAACAAGTTTTTTATTGAATACTAGCTATCGCGCGCACCTCTGTCCGTGCGTAATTAAAAAAAACATAATTATAATATTATGTGTTCTTCCAAACTATGTTCTACATCTATGCCAAGTTTCAGCGAGATCCATTGAGCCTTTATATGGGAAAAAGAAGAGGGCTATTTTTGGAGTTTTCCCGGCAAAATAAAACCGTTCAGCCGTTCTCGATTTTTAACAAGAATAACGAACAACAATTGATTTTTTATATATACAGATAGATTATAAATTGTCCATATAATATGATAAAAATATTTACCACTTTTAATATCATCGGAAAACATACAGGTTTCTTGCTTCCTTGCAAGTTGTGTTTCCGTTAATTTGAATCCGAGAGCATGACACTTGACGGCCTTGCGCCTATTTTATATGAATCAATTTTAAAAACTAGCTGTTGCACGTTATTCCGTCCGTGCGGATTTTAAAACAATTATTAGTAGCCTATGTCTCCAGACTATGTTCTACATCAATATCAACCTTCAAACAAACATCTATACGTCTAAACTTTGGCATTATTATTAGTAAGATTGTTTTAGTGATTCATGAGAATATTTAATTATGATATCTTACTGCTTGTAGTAAATGTTTATTTAGGTTAAACATTTTTAGTATCTGTACAACAAATTCGGTTTTAAAACCGAAGTTAAACTAAGGTTTAATTAACAAGACGACAATTTCCATGTCCATCTAATAGATTTATATGTAGGGGACGCACCCGTACTACGTGACCCGTTTAGGGGGAGTGGGGGCTCAGGTTTTTGTCACCTAGTCGTTAGTTGGTATTTTTCATAATACATAATTCACTAGTAATTTAAATATGCATGCAGTCTTATGCTATAAAGAAGAGTATGAGCCAAATTATTATTTTTTTCAATTTTTGCCTGTGAAATGATTAAAAATCATAATTATGAATTACTGCGTAAAAACTAAAGGGGGACGTCTTGGCATGTACTAGTGGTCACCAAGGGGTGGGAGGGGTCGAAAAAACTAAAAAAATAGGTTACGTAGTATGGGTACGTTCCTGTATCCGTTCTCTATATTTGATATGAAAATTTGCTAAATATTTTCTACTGTTATTTTTTGCTGATTATCAACAAACATAAATAATTAATTATAATCAGTAAATTAACTGATTTTGTCTACAGAAAAAAATGATATTGTAAAAAAATATGATAAATGTAATTTACCAAACGTATCTGAATAAGGACACTTTACTCGTACAATAGAATATAATTTTCTGCAGAAACATTTTGCTTTGAAATAAAATGTTTTTTTTTTTTTATCAACCGCTCCATTTTTTACGTCAGTTTGATTTGAGCTTCGTCGAACTTCGCGTTCGACGGCTTTATTTCCGGACGTCGAATTGAAATTCTATCGAAAGATTTTTTTTTGCTTTACCAAGATATCAGAAATTGAGACGAAATATTATTTTCTTTTTTCTCTTTTGTGGTTTAAAATTTAATGAACAATTTTCTTTTTCAATGAATTAATTCATTTCAAGCCAGCTTTATTTATATGTTTATTAATAATAATAATTTATAGAGACTTTAACAGTGGTACTTTAACATCTTCGCACGAATTGGCCCGGCTCGCCCGGTGAAATACCACGACCACACAGAAGACAGGCGTGCAGTGGAAGCAATTCCGCATTTCGTCTGATGATTGTGCGTCCCGGATGCCTAATTTAGTCATCTTTCCTATCCTATCCTTTTTCTTATAAGGAAAGGATGGGAAGTGGAAGTGGACTTTCCGGATGAGAGGATGCCTGGAAAGGGAAAATATTTTCATTCTGTGCATCCTCTCGCATATGCAATTGCGTATGTCTATGGGCAACGGTCACTTCGCTATTTTAGCGATTTCAGGTGGCCGCTCGCTCGTTTGCCACCTATTATAGACCCACACATATCTACATGATACAAAGTATCAAATGACTCAACCCTTTTAACGTAGGTGGTAATAACATCTAGAGCTCGTTCGTTTATCTCTGTTAAGAGATCTGAATGTCTGTCACTATAACTATACTAATGTTACAAAAAAATAACAAAAACCTTACCTACTTTACACTATTCAGGATCGGTCAATACGTTTGAAATACATATTACAATATAGCCCTCTATCAGTTGAGTAAAAAAGAGCTGGTAGATGCATAACTCTAAATAAATATCACTTATTTAAATATATTCATTGTACATAAGTAAAACTGTAACAAAACTGCATACAAAAAACCCAGCAGTTTGATCCACGACATGAATACTAAAATGGTTACAATTTCGTGCCTGCGGTTACCTTAAATAGGGTACATTACATATATCTCGGTGATCTTGCAAACATAATGTCTCGTGTTTCATCATTCAAACCACAAGTACAAAGCCTTAGTCATTTTGGCAATAAATGAATTATTTTTCCTTTTATAATTTCATTGTCTTTGTTAATTTGTTATAATCTATGATTCCACTGTATATATGCATACAATGGGATCCATTTATAATACCTCTTTCACGGTAATCCAATACTGCCGAAGATGTTAGGTTAGGTCACTTAAAGCGAGTCATTATATCCGACTTTTTATAAAGAATTTTATGAACACCAAACTGAACTGTTTAATTACTTTACAAGCTGTTAGTTAAAATTCAAACTTCTTCTACTGTAGTTATATTAAAGATTTTGGATCAATTCACTCCAGATTAGACATAATAAAATTAGAACACCCTGAGCATAACAAAATGTATGATCAGTCGGTTGTATAGCAAACGTAATACATATGTTGAATATAGAATTTATCATAAAAGCAATTAAAATAATCTTTAAATAGCTGTCGCCCACGACTCCGTCTACGCGGAATTTAAAAAAAAATATAATTAATAGCCTATGTGTTCTTCTAGACTATGTTCTATATGCATGCCAAGTATAACGTTGACGTGATATGTGAATTAGTTCCGGTAATCCCAACATAATAATGTAACTAGGTCTTGTCTGTTAAAGATAATTATTTTCATCTATACAAACGAATTCAGTCGCAATTTAAAAACAAAGACTCAGTCTGGTGACTGTACAAAGTGTTTGCGAAGCGCTTTCTGTTATTCAAATTTAAAATGTTTTGCATAAAAATAATCACTAGCCAAATATGTTACAATTGTTTGAAGCGAGCACTATTTTGGAGATGATTTTGAAACGCTTTAACAAACTTCAAAAAAAACTCATAAACTTTTCACTTTTAAAGATAGTTGAGTACCAGGAGACCAAAAGTGAAGGACGGTGTCTCAAGGTGGACGTATGAACTCGATGAATGTGTTTGGATTTGAATAGTAGAGGACTGTTGAAGGCATTGGGCATATATCCAGTAATGGACTGATACAGGCTGATGATGATGATGGTGGAGATGATGATAACGATGATGATGACGATGATGAATCAAATTGATAAACATTTTTTTCATTTTAAATAATAATTCTTAAATTCAGTAGGTGTTAGATGAATTTCTATACGTACATAATATTATCTTGATAAAGGTTAACTAGTTTAGATTAAAGGAACCTTGACTATTACAGTAAATAGATTTGACATTAAAATAGATTAATTTAGATTGAGATTATAGATTATCTTTTTTTAACTAGAAACTTTAAGTTCAAATTCATCTTATATTTAAGCTCTGGTAATTCTCCTACCCTAACTTAGGGTAGACTCCGAGCCCCTCGGTGGGGACGTATAGTGAGCTGATGATGATGATTGTTCACTTTCTAAGCATTTACAGTGTCAGTCGATAAAACTAAATGTTGTTTTCTTTATAACCAAATTGCCAGGTGAATTGTTATGAATTATTTATATTAAATATGACCAACTAAGTCTTCTGCAATTCGCGTTATTTCCGGACACCCTGTACTACAATACAAAAATGTCTTCCATACATTGTCATGGTTTATCATACGCACCTGTTTTAATGACACATTATGGCCTGTACCCATAAATCTTTCTTTATATTGCTTTCCAGCGAGATCAAGCAACGGCCTTGCGTTTCCGGATACATCGTAATGAGCATATGCTTTGACGTACACGCATTTTTTAAAGATCACCAAGTGAGCAAGCCGCGCCCGCGCGTGTATAATCTGTATAAAAGCTCTGCTACGCATTAGTCGGCATTCATTCAACGAGTGGAAATCATCCCGACTAAACCACAATGGCAGCTAAGGTGATTACAGTGCAGTGTTAACGTGATAAATTTTAGGATTAGATAATTGCTGATGGCTATGGGCGTCGATGAACAACTCGGTGTTCCCGCTGTTCGTTTGTCCCCTTCTCTTACAAAAAAAATGTGTCAGTTTCCTATATTTGGTTACATAGATTGAAGTTCCTTTAAAGGCGATCTACAATTCTTAATACTTCAATTGTTTTTTTTCTAAATTCGTTAATTTTATTAATCATTTCAATACTAATAAAGTAAATTATTGGTTTTATGTTTATTCAATTAATTGCTTAATCAAATACTGCACAAATATTATTTGGTTATTTATTTCAAACTTCGACATTTACATAGACGAAAACTTCTTTAAAGAGTTAACTTAGGAATAAATTTTTTCTTTTATATTACTTGTTCAGAATTGTTATAACATGATGTAAATTTGTAATATCCATATCCATACTTGACCTTATTCTTCATATAACTAAAGTAGACTAAAATAAATTAGTGTTTTACTAACTTAGAGTAACCTATTCAAGCACACGGGGCACGTAAGCTCGGACCATTAATATTCTTTTGACGGTTACTTAAGAATGTAGCATCACTTTTTACATTAACTACGTGTAGGCTTGTTATGTATCAATCATTCAAAAGCTCATTCTACTTTGAACACTTTGTATAAAAACTAACAATATGATTCATATTACAAATATTAATATACTAAACTAATCGTGTTCTACTAAACACTTTAAGATAGATTGTGTTAAGAAGATGTTTAAACGGATTAGAATAGACAAAGGTTTCAAACACTGTAATAATTCCTTTATTTATTTTTGAATTTTCATTTGCAGTTCGTCGTAGTGCTCGCTTTGGTGGCCGTGGCCCACAGCTCCGTGGTGCCAGTGGTGCCAGTCGCGAAAGCAGACGACTACACAAGCTTCGCTTACGATGTCGCCGACCCCAATACAGGAGACTACAAGAGCCAGGTGGAGACCCGCGTCGGCGGAACGGTCAAGGGCCAGTACTCACTCCTTGATGCTGATGGCACCAAGCGCACTGTCGACTACGCTGCTGATGACGTCAACGGTTTCAACGCTGTCGTCAGGAAAGACCCAGCTGTTGTGGCCGCTCCAGCCGTTGTAGCGACCGCTCCTGCCGTCGTAGCCTCCGCTCCTGCTGTCGTCTCCGCTGCCCGTACTGTTGTTGCTGCCGGTCCTACTGTTGTAGCTTCAGCTCCTGCCGTCGTCGCCTCCACTCCCGTGGTAGCCTCCGCCCCCGCTGTAGTAGCCGCACGTGCCTACGCTCCATCCCTGTACGCTGGTGCCTTGTACTCCCAGAAGTACTACTCTCCCACCGTGTACGCGGCTGGTACACCTACCGTGGTGACCCGTAACTTGGCCGGCCCTGCCTACTACACCGCGTCTGCCCCTGTCTTCGCCCGCACTGTCGCCGCACCCACATACGTTGCTCAATCCCCCTACAGCTACGCTTACTCTTCCCCAGTTACCTACTGGTAAATACCTCATTGCTCATAGTATAAACGATGTATCCAAATACTTGGCTTGTAAATAGTTAATTTTGTACATAACAAGTGCGTGTGTAATAAAAAAAACTGATTTCCAATTTGTGTATAATTTTATTTTATTTATATTACTTCCTAATGACAAATGTTCAAAAACCATAACAACATTTGATAAACTGAATTTTAAAAAGCATCGCATTTTCAACAGTAGCAGTATCTTGTTGAATCAATATAAGTAAAAACTGCAAATATAAACAAATGTAACAAACCATGAATAATATGCATTCTCAAACAATTCTCACGCCGCAATAGCAAAGGATATCCTATTAATCACACATCCCATCAGAATGAAGGAGGTCTGACCACGACCTGAATACATTATTAAAAACGACTCCCAATGTATACCAAGTTTATTATAATACTAGTTATTGACCGCGACTTTGTGTTGGTTTTTGTTTCGTTGCGGAACTATAGTTATATGGTGAAACAAAAAACAAATCCATCCCACGGGAGCCGTAGATTTTTCGTAATGAAACACTATGGTATACTATTCTAAATATGTTATCAACCTGTCCCAAGTTCGTCAAAATCCATGAATTCGTTTAAAGTTAATTCGCAAGGATCATCTATTCATTCATGCAAACAATGCCATTTAAAATATTACAATAAGACTAGCTGTTTTTCGCGACTTTGTTCGCATGGAACTTTAAAAGAACAGTGTAAGTAGGCTCTACATTATACCAGACTCCGTTCGCGCGAAAAAAACAAACTTAGAAGCCCATATGTTCTTCCAGACTATGTTCTACATCAATGCCAAATTTCAGCGAGATCCATTCAGCCGTTCCGGAGATACCTTCAAACAAACATCCATTCATCTATCTATACATCCAAACATTCGCATTTATAATATATAAGTCTAACATTTCTAGAAGACTTCAAGGTACTCAACATACTACTTATTATAATACTGGATAATAAGTAGATCAAGAAAATATGATAAATAATTTCTTGTACTTACTACCTCAAGGTTAATGTAACCTAATTTCAATTATTCCAGTTGTTACTTTTTTAATAATATAGCATGTCAGACTCTATTTTTTACTTCAAAATAAGTTTATTTAATTTTGTACACAAAAAAGTTCGGAATAATTACAGTACTTAATTTTAACTTAATAATGTCCGTATGAATAAATTGTTACGTAAAATATATTTCATATTGACACAAACAAGTTAGAAAAAATCTAACGTGACTATGTTCTTAAATATAGCTTAACTAGCTGTCGGCCGCGACTCCGTCCGATCGCAATTAAAAAACTTAATTAATAGCCTATGAGTTCCTCCATACTATGCTCTACATCTATGCCAAATTTCAGCGGGATCTGTTTTTTTTTTAAACAGAAGGGGACAAACGAGCAGCGGGTACACCGAGGTGTTCAACGACGTCCATGGACATCAGCAATACCAGAGGAACCGCAGATGCGTTGCCTGCCTTTGAGGTGATAAGCTCGCTTCTTGAAGGACTCTAAGTCGTAGAGGTTTGGAAATACCGCCGAGGACAGACCAGATTAGCCGTTTTATAGATACTTTCAAACATCCATCTAACAAATGAAAGTGTAACTTTTTATGAATAAATTTAATACATACATACATCCAAACATTCGCATTTATATTATTAGTAAGATGACATCAATAAACAAAACAATCAAAAAAGATAATTAACATATTTGTATAAAACAATGGTGTTTGAAAAAAGAACTACCCCTACCCCTACTTTGTACTATTCAGGTAAAAACAGAAGAAAAAATTCTCGTATGCAGCAACGTTGTATTTAAGGAAGTTTTTTTAATCAATATGATTAAGTTATAGGAAATGATGTGTCCATACTGACGCTAAAATATGCCTTTTAATCAGAGGAAATGACTTGGCTGGAACTTTATAAACTAGGCTAATAAGCTTGACCCATAAAACTTATTATAAAACTAACACATTCAAAAAAATAAATATATATTTTTTTATATCAAAAGGTGGTAAACGAGCGAGCGGCCACCTGAAATCGCTGAAATAGCGAAGTGACCGTTGCCCATAGACATACGCAATTGCATATGCGTTGCCTACCTATAATCGACGGAGGAGATGATGCACAGAAAGAAAATATTTTCCCTTTCCATGCATCCTTTCATCCGGAAAGTCCACTTCCACTTCGCATCCTTTCCTTATAAGAAAAAGGGTGGGAAGGGAAAGAGGACTAAATTAGGCTTCCGGGACGCACAGTCATCAGGCGAAACGCAGAATTGCTTCCACTTCACGCGTGTCTTCTGTGTGGTCGTGGTATTTCACCGGGCGAACCTGGCCATTTCGTGCGAAGATGTTAAAGCGGGCTCTACCAATGTTAAGATATATATTCTGTTGTCCATATAAATAATATAGGTGAATGCTACTTATATTACTTAACTAGGATACTCATTAAGGATAATTTATGTCCATTTAAGTGAAGTTTACGTGCAAAAAATCAGTGTGAAAATAAAACTTTCTTTACTAATATTTTTTAAGCTTCATTAACCGAGAACTTAATTTTAATACAACGAGTTCTTCCTTTTCACCCATCTTAAAGCAGCGTATTCAAAATTTCATTCCAAAGTAAAATGGAATAATAAGAGAAAATTAAGGAATGAGACTACTATAATAGTGTTAAAATGAGGTTGAATAGTGTAAAAAATTCTAGGTTAAATTCAACAGACTGTTGTTACATTTCTTTTACAAACTGTTACAACTGATTTAAAGGTTATTTTACTGTTAAATATTTATTCTTTCAAATAAATCTTTTACTACTATTTGACCTATATCCGTCGTTGTATAGACAGGAATTAATAAAATTATAAGATTTATTACAGTACTATATTGACATAAGTTCTCATGTCATTGAATATATCCTATATTAATAGAAATTAACAATTATCGTGTATTTTTAATAGCTAACGACTTCCCATCGCAAATTTAGCAGATTTGTATAAAAATGCTGAGATTTGCTTAAACGACATCATTTAACAACCGACATCGTCCCAATCCCATTAAAAATGGCAGCTAAGGTAAGAGTAATTTTTTAATATTTTACAAACAAAGTCCAATTGGCAGTTACTTAATTAAAAAAAATACAAAATATAATAATTTCCAAAGCTTTTTTCAATCATTTCGTATATGAAACACAAATTCTTTCAAAAATATTCATTGATGATCTTTGAATAACTTATCTTCTCTTGTGCTCTGTAAAACGATTTGTTCTCTTTCAGTTTGTCGTAATCCTCGCCTTCGTGGCCGCGACTCAAGCGTCGATACTTACATCTCAAGATAACGACTACACAAGCTTCGCATACGATGTTGCTGATCCTAACACCGGAGACTACAAGAGTCAAGTGGAATCAAGAATCGGAGGCACGGTCAAAGGTCAATACTCCCTAATCGATCCTGACGGCACAAAACGTATCGTCGACTACACCGCTGATGATATTAATGGATTTAACGCAGTCGTCAGGAAGGAACCGATCACTCAAGCAGTAGTTCCTGTATCTGCTGCCGTTATTCCTGCCGCGACACCAGTCGTATCTACTCCATTCCGTACCATTTCTTCACCATCAGTGTACTCTGTAGGATCTCAGTACTTCGCTTCTCCAAGTGTCTACAACGCTAGGAGTTACGCCACACCTTATTATTATCCGCGTTCTTCCACTTACAACTCTTATGCTGCCCCATTGAATTATTATTATTAAGTACTCAACACGACCTGCGATGTAAATATGTAAAATATTTGTTTTCTTGATAATAAAATGTTTCAGTCCAATAATCTTTTTTTTTCTAACTCTTAGCATTCTTGTTGAGGGACATATAGCTCTCTAAATATTACCTTAAACTGCATCTCTTTAGTTAAAACATTTTAAATAGGGCTTTAAGCAAGACAAGACAAACTTAATACCTTTTCAGTTCAAAAATGAAACAAAGGATAAGAAAATGATCATTATATTTACTCGTATAGTTCATATTTTCTTATTCTAGTAATTTAAAAATAAATACGTATGATTTAATAAGTTTGTGGAATAAAAAAAACTGTATACCATTTAAATAAGAGAAATATTTATGACAATTATTTTTAGTAAATATATAAATCTGTTTATGGCACAAAATTATTATAATATTAATTTTAACATTTGCATCAAAAAGTTTTAAAGTAACTAAAAACGAAAAAGATAAGATATTTTACAATATTTTTTCCAATTTAAAAAAGTAAGATTAAATATATTTATTACAAGAAATATTTCAGTGCTAATGTTAAAGCATATAATGCAAAAAATCGGCAGAAAAACACGTTTAGGGTCATTCATTATCACATAAGGCTCGCATGGGGAGGAGGTGTGGAAAAAATCACGAAATATCACACGAAGGGGAGGCATTTATAATTTCTCTTTAAAACTTAACTTAGTAGTGACTATGTAGACTCGATCACAACACATTCAAGAGGATTGATAAAATTAAATGTCTTTAACACTTATGTTTTTTCATTAAAATGCTTAAATTAATCACAATCATTATATTTATGCAGTTTTATTGAGTCCGACTAAATATATACTTGTTTTTTAAACTATTGCAATAGTAATGCATATTTATATTACATTAATTTAACTTGAAAATTAATGAGGTAACTTTACAATTAGTTAATTTTGTACATTTCATGTACACAAATTATATTTATTAAGCATTTTATATAAGGAACAATACACTTAAATATGTGCGTATATAAATACGATTAAAATTTGTTGATTATATTATTGTAGCAAGATTTCTGTTTTGAAGAAAAACCAAAAACAAAGTTAATAAAAACTAAGTTAAAAATTATTTTATAGTGATCGTATATTTGTATAAAGTTGTATGTATCGTATACTATACAAAATAAACATAAGGATTAACTAACTTTTATCTGTAACTTTACGCAGAATTAAAAAAATGGTTTCCAATTTTACTCGAGTTGTTCTATATCTGTGCCAAATTTCAGTGAAGTGTCTTAAACTGTTTCTAATTCATCAAGTAAATATTTAAATCAAACGTATCCCACGGGAACCGTACACATTTTCTTGATCATAGGTTTAGACTGAGCCCTTCTAGAGATACCTTCTAATAAATATCCATCCATACATCTAAACATTCGCATTTATAATTTTAGTAAGACAAGATAGCTCTGTTATACAGTACAGGGTATGCATATTCAGAGATGTACCTTATAACTAAATCAATAGGTTTATACCAAATATTTATGAATTTAAACATTATTTCCCACTGAACCTATAACTTTTTCTGTTCCCGCAGTTTTGTTACAAGCATAAATAACTAAAATGTGTATATGACATAAAGAGATGATAGTTTATTTTTAGATAAAAATTCTATCTCGAAAAATCAAGGGAATTTTTCATTTACAAAACCAGTTAAAATAATTAAAAATAAGACTATTTGTCCCTTTCTTCAATATCAATGTAAAGTGCAATATGTAATAAATATTTGATAATCCTTATTCATATACAGGATGTCCCAAAAGGTTACGTACATAGGAAAGTGGATGATAGGGGTGGTCACAAGGGTCACCAGAAAAATAAAATAATCCCTATCATCCCCCTTCCTATCTACGTAACCTTTTGGGACATCCTATATACATTTAAAAAATAAACAATACATTCACTCATAAATCACAAGCTAAGCTCTGCTTTACTTGTGTATTTGAGCTCTTTTGTCTTAAAAATATTTATTTTAAAAGAACCATTTCGTCCATTTCATTGAAATATTCTTTGGTAAACGAGTATACTTTGTTCCAATTCAAGACTTTTTTTCTTAATATTTACACAAACTGGTTTGTACTGTTTTTACGTTATCTTAACATAATGGATTATCCATTAATCACGTGTAGCCCGAAAGGGGTGGAGGGATCCCGGAAAAAATTACGATACATCAAAGGAAAGGAAATGGAGGCTAGAATAAGATCTCGTGTGTTTTCTGATTGATTCCAGTTTTTTTTTCAATTTGAAATTTCTATTTTTCTTGAAAAAAAATTGATTGTGTCAAATAGTGTTAAAACTATCATTTGAGGAATGAACACCCTTTATCTATGCATATTGCACAATATCTCTGAATGTTATTTCACAAATTTCACAAACTAAAAAAAAATAGTAAAGTTTGCTTGCACTATTTAGTTCTTGATTTAGAACAGAGTATTAAATATATGCTTCCTCTGACGAGAAACTCGTACCCTCTGTAATTGTTGTGTCTGTGTCCTCAAAAAGAAAGAGAGAGACAACAATGTATTTTATATAGAAATACTCCGAAAGTCTGACTGTGTATTCACGATTAGTTTTTACAATTTTTTACTATATTAATAGGCGGTTATAAAGATAAATATAGTAGAATATATTAATTTTTGGCATGATACATGGCGATGTTTGTTAAAAAATATGCGTAGTGAAGGTTAACAATACCAACATTTTTAAATACATAACGATTAAAAAACTTTTTGGTATTTTTGGAATGCTTAACCGTAATTATATTATTTACATTAATCAATTTATAGGAATATGCGATAATAGAAAAAAAATATGATATAAAGTTACAATTTTCATAAAAAGTTTAGAAATTCCTATCAAGAATTTTTATATCAAAACATTCACAAAATATAGAAATCTAATAAATTTTAGGTAAAGATTTTTTCTTTTAAAATCGCTTAGTTACATTTATTACTAGTACCCTTTTCTATAATAATAACGGGCCGTTTTTTCCGCAAATATTTCTGTTTCCAAATTTAAAAAAAAATTACCAAGATTAATTTCACAATAATATAGAAGTAAATATAGATTATACAATTTAAAATTTTGGATGTTAATTAGGTAGTCTTTTCATTGATATTAATATAAAAGCCTTTATATAAATAAGGTTTAGTTTAAAAAATATCTTTTTTTTTTTCATTCGGTTTTTAAATAGCCGTTTTCGTCCATGGTAAGTCTTAGCCGGAATGCCTCAAAATTTTTATAATCCATTTCTTCTCCTGTCGTTTCCGTATTATCGACAATAGTTATTTCATTTCCTATACTCGTGTCGATCCATTGTATATTTGAAGTGCTGTCACAAGGCACGAAGTATGTCGCTCCGTCAGTCTGAGACATCACAGTAGAAACCAAATTCATTTGTTCCCACGACAAGGACACGTTGTTGAGCAATGGCTCCACATACCTGCGAAAATTAAGAGAATTAATAAAAATTATTTAAAAATAGAATGCGTTCACAAAAAAAAACAAGACATTCTAAATTCAAATTTATAATCAAAATGTTATTTTCTTTTCGATTCGATTCAATCGATTAATAAACTGTAATGAGGTTCACATTTTCTCTACATTTACTCGAGTGTCCTTGTCAAAATTTGGAGGGAAAACTGGCAACTTTTTCCGATTAAACAGTAAATGTTGCAATATGAAATATTTTCTCTAAAACCAAATTTGGGTAACTAGGTTAGGGATGACCTATAAAGTGTTTTGTAAATTTTTGACTAAAATTATGTTTCTTAACATGAAAATATAATCTTCATTACATTTTTTTTAATTAATAAATAACGATGAGTAATCAATGTATAATAATAAAATCAATTTGATGCTGGAAAGTAATTTAGAAATAAAATTTTACTACAGTTTCAAAAATAATTGTTCAAAGCATTCGCTAAAACACAATTTATCTGTGCCCAAATTCAAATTATGAATTTAATCTGTTACTTGACCTACATTTGAAGCTTAATTTATTTCTTTTATATGTAGATATTTTAGTAGTACAACGTACAAAGTGGAATGCGGTAGTTTTGGGCAAATGTTAAGACATTAAGCAATTAGTTTAGATATTACGATAGTAACGAGTAATATTTAATTTAAATGTACCAGTTTTATGATGTCATTACTGAATTTAAATTAATTTATTGAACTAAGATTATTTAAAATACGTACGTAAAGAACCCTAACAACAAAATCTTTGTTATTATATATTATTATGATACATAAGACTATCCTTGTGGAATTTTACATAAGCATAGACGTTGTCTATTGTGATTTCTAAATAAAGTTATTCAAAGTATAGCTTTCAAAAGACCCCGTTTTTGAAAAGTGCAAAAACTTTATATTGCTATTAAAATTTGACAGGCGTTAGTTTTATAACATATTGACAAGACGTTCAAAAACGGGACTTTATACTTTTTTCTCAGTATGATTTATATAAATATAAGTTTACCTATATATGTTGGAGTTCCGCCGCCGCAACTGCTGTCCCCAATCATGACGATAACTTCAATTTGATCCGGATATACTAAGTGCCAATTCAGTTGTAACAGAGTTATAGATTTGGGTGGTTGGTAAGGGATATTAGGTAAACTAGGCAGGAGTAATTTTTGTAGTGTTCTAGTAATTTCTATAAATATGTTTTTTATGAGCTTGAAGTTTAACTTTATCGGAATTATAAAATAGATTATTTTAATTTTACTTACGTTAGCTGTTAAATTGAACTATTAAACTGATTTATCTTGTAATGAATATTTTAACTAAAAATTGTATGTCTGTCGTGTAAGTTAAATGCAAAGGATCTTTGGTATTAGGATTTTTAGGATATTTTTTCAGTAGGTAAAAATCTGTTTTCGTTTTTCTTTAAAATAATTTTGAAAAAGTTCGATATACTCACTCATTGGGGGCAACTTTTTGCAGTTTTTTTATACGTATATGTCATTTAGAAACTTACATGTATTTGACTATGTTTGATACATTACCATAAACACCA